TTGTGGACTATAGCCCACATCATCAGATGCTGAGGGTAGGCCATAGTCCAGAAGACCTTGTGTGTTTGTTAGCCCTTAAGGTCCCAAAGGGTGTGTTGTTTATAGATAATAATGTGTGCTGATTTCCCCCCCACTCAACCTCTTCTTGCTATTTGGGTTTAAATTATTTGTTGTCTTCTGTGTTTTAAAGCTTGTTCTAGTTTTATGTATGTGTTTGTGGGTTGTTGCTGTTGTTGTTTTTACATTTCATTGAATTTGTTGTAGTATTAAGTTCCCTTGAGTACCTCATACTGAGGCGGAAAGGCAGGAAATAAACATTTTTATTAAAATAATATGAACAGAGCAATGGGTTTTAACTTTCATTCTGCTCATGAACTAGATGAACCATTTGCCTTCTGAACAAAAATAATCAAGCCTGAAGAAGAGTGTGGGTGACAGAATATGCTCAGTTTGGATGGTTTCTTCAGAAATATGCAATAGCTCATATGAAGACCAAGATATAGTGATTTTTTTAATTAGACTGTAAGTTGATACATGTAATGCTCTGTATTTTAAGGACAGAGTTTAAGGAAAGAGGCACTTTCAATCATCTGCAGCTTCAAGAAATTCCCATTAAACCTTTTCAGTTGTGTTTGATGAAAGCTTTCACAGGAATCACTGCATTACAAACACAGGTTTAGCTTCAGAGATACTTAAGAAATCCTTCAATAGATCTCTCCAAAGCTCTCTGAAGGAAAAAGGAAGAATTTATATAAAGCAGTGGTGGAAAACTGCACAAGGAATAGGAGGCAGAGGGAATTTTTCTTCCCTGTACTTGCCTGGTGGGCTGCACTAGTGAGTTTCAGCATGCCCAAAGTGACATGATGTTACTTCCAATTGTCATTTTGGCCAATTTTAGGTTCATTTTCCCCCTGCCTCTTTTTTGAGGTTTTGGGGAAAACTGAGGGCTTTGCAGGGTTATGAGAATAAAAATGCTGCATTTTTAGACAGTTTTGGACCATGTGGGAATAAAAATTGCTTGAAATTTCCCTCTCCCATTTTAAAACATTTTTGGTGGGGGTGGGACTGAAAAGTTTTTCTGTGGGGTCCCAAAGCAACATGCAGCCCATGGCCCACAACCCCCCTCTCAGTTTAAGGGAGCCTATTGGTACAGATAATCAAGCAAACTGCATCCCTATCTAAAATGCTAAAGCTAGATTGTCCTTCCCTCTTTGGTGGCCTAAACCCTTTTGTTATTTTTAACACAATTAATAGTAACTTAATAAATAAATAATATTAATAATAAACTTAATAAATTGACAGTCATGGAAGTCTCCTTGATCCAGTGGGTCTACTCTAGTTAGAACTACCAATGAAGGCCATTGTTCCCCCTGATGTTTTCAGGCCAATGAAGAGCTACTGGGGAGGAGGATTCATCCACTCATCCAGTTACTGTTCCCCATACCTCCTGTAAAACAACAACCTCTGTTTTCTTTTTATTATTAAGAATATGAACTAAAGTATTTTTCTAGAGGGTATGTAAAAAAAAAAAAGACACAGAGAGAGTAGAATGTCTTCAAAACCTGCATTTTGGTGGGAGAGTAACTGGAGATAGGAGACTGGAAACTGTACACAGACTATCCAACACTTAATAAAAAGACCCTGCCCCTATTTCCTCTTTAACTTATGTGTACAGTCTATTAATTACTATTAATTCTGAATGGCTAAGCTGGTGGATACATTTGGGAGGATGCTTATTCACTCTTAAGTGCCAGCTTTGAGTTTACTGCAATACTTTTGATAATGTTTGGATTTTCAGAGTCTACCAGTTGGTGGGTTTAGAATTTGGTAAATTCTTTCACATAATGCCTACATAGGATAAAGATGATGACTGGTATTAGCATGAAGATTTGTAAGGTTAATAATAAAGAGGATTGCTATGATAATGCAACTGAGGAAGTGGATGCATGCTTTAGTTTGTCTTTGCCTGGCTTCTATCCCAGTCTCCGTTACACAGTCCTGTCATTGTCTTGGTAGAAGTCCAAGGAGTTTTTATATTTCACTTTAGAATTAATGAAAATCTATTAAAGCTTGTTGGCAAATTCCCCTTGGCCTTGTACATCAGGGTTTAATTTATGTTATTGTCCTAATACAGTGTCTGAAAATTATCTTTGACATTTTAATTATATGAATTGAATTGAAACTGTAAAGATAATTTTTGGGCCCCTGTATATTAAACTTGTGTCTCTTTTACTCCAGGTAAGTAGTTTTATTTGGGCTTCTACTTCTTTCATTTCATCTTTCTTATCCTGTCTTTTAATTATTTTTGCCTTTACCTAAACATTTGTCCTTTCTACTCCATGGCTTAGATGTTGCAGTACAAGAAAAAATGTGGGGATCTGGAGCAGCAACTGCTGGGGAAAACATCTGACTGTGAGCACCAGAAACAGATGGTCTGTATGCCTCCCACCCACCCCCATGATGTAAATGATAGTGATGAGCCATATAGCTGTTTAACTGTTAGCACTGTGAGCAATTTGTATATCACTGTTCACCACACCATGCACATTTAACTGGAGAGAGGACTTGGCAGACAGCTTATCCTAATGACATATTTGATACAAATACTCTTGGTATAGTTCACATCAATTAATGTCTCTCATACATATTTTATGAATATCCACAGGTGGGGGCATGGGGGTAATATGGACAACAGAAACAACTAAGCTGAAAAGTGCTTTATTTCATGAAAGACATTTTGAGTGTAGAGCTCTTCTCACTGCTGGTTATGAACTCATTTATGGCTAAAGCGCTTCAGTAGAATTTGCTTATTTATTCTTGCATTACATAGCTGTCCCATAACAAATTCTTTGGGTGGCTTGCAAGCAAATATAGCATTAAAATATAGTATAAAAATGGTTAAAATTACAGTAGAAAGTGCCAGCTCACTGAGTTCCCATTGATTAAATACAAAAAGGGCTTTTTGGAATATGTCGGTAGCAAAAGAAAGAAGGAGGAAATGGTAGGGCCACTGTGCAGAGAAGATGGAGAAATTCTAACAGAGGACAGAGAAAAGGCAGAACTACTCAACACCTTCTTTACCTCAGTCTTCTCACAAAAGGAAAAGGGTGTTCAACCTGAGGAAAATGGAGCAGAGGACACAATAGAGGAAATGCAGCACGAAATAAGTAAAGAGGAAGTACAGGAATACCTGGTTAACCTAAATGAATTTAAGTCTCCAGGACCAGATGAACTACTTCCAAAGATATTAAAAGAAATGACAAATGTAATCTCAGAGCCACTGACAATAATCTTTGAGAACTCCTGGAGAACAGGAGAAGTCGCAGCAGATTGGAGGAGGGCAAACATTTCCCCATCTTCAAAAAGGGGGGGAAAGAGGATCCCAACAACTATCATCCAGTTAGTCTGACATCAATACAGGGAAAAATTCTAGAATAGCTCATTAAACAGAGAGTCTGTGAACATTTAGAAAGGAATGCCATAATCACAAAATGTCAACATGAGTTTCTCAAAAACAAATCATGTCAGACTAATTTGATCTCTCTTTTTTTATATAAAATTACTAGCTTGGTAGATGAAGGGAATACGGTAGACACAGCATATCTTGATTTCAGTAAGGCTTTTGACAAGGTCCCCCATTATATTCTTGCAAACAAGATAATAAATAAAATGTGGGCTAGACAATACAACTGTTAGGTGGATTAGTAATTGGTTGACTGACAGAACCCAAAGGGTGCTCAGCAATGGCTCCTCTTCATCCTGGAGAGAAGTGACCAGTGGAGTGCCACAAGGTTCTGTCCTGGGCCCAGTGCTATTCAACATCTTTATTAATGACTTGGATGAAAGAATAGGGGGCATGCTTCTCAAATTTGCAGATGACATCAATTTTAGGCTGCATCAATAGACGTATAGTGTCTAGATCAAGGGAAGTAATTGTGCCACTGTATTGTGCCTTGGTCAGGCCCCACCTGGAATACTGTGTCCAGTTCTGGGCACA